GCTGTACTTATTCTATAACGCCACACCAGGACGCTCTCATCATAACAATCTCATAACAGTCCAGTCTTTGTATCAGTATTGTAGTTTATAGTTTATATGTATTGTTCTTAAGTGCTGTTGAGTTAGTTCCGACTCATAGCGACCCTGTTACGGGTTTCCGAGGAATGGCTGGTGAGTTTGAACCACTGACCCTATGGTTCAAACTAACCTTGCAGTCAAGTGCTTATCCACAGCACCACATGTAAGTGTTGGTGTGGTGCTGTAGGATAAGGCACTGGACCAAAGGGTTGGTTTGAACTGCAAGGTTGATGGTTCAAACTCACCAGCCATTCCTGAGAACCCTATACAGAGTCACTATGAACCAGAACCAACTCAATTGCAATTAACAAAAACAACAACAGCAACATGTATATATAAAGTTTATATATACAGGCGAAGTCTGTGTGGTACTGTAGGATAAGCACTGGACTGCTAACCACAAGGATGACAGTTTGAACCCAGTCCTCCAAACACTATACCAGGGTGCTATGAGTCAGAACCCACCCAATGGCAATTAACAGTAACATATACAAGCAAACATACTGCAAAGTCTGAACCCCGCCAACATTGCGCTCCATTGCTTTGTCTCACAGCGCCACACCAGGACTCCATACATATGCACATCAGTTTGAGGACTAATGTGCATCTGACCCAAGCCATGGTATTTTCCAAAACCTCACATGCATGTGAATATTGGACACTGAATACAGAAGACTGCAGAAGAATTGATACATTTGCGTTATGGTGTTGGAGGGGAATATTGAAAGTACCATGGACTGCCAAAAGAACAAACAAGTCTGTGTTGGAAGAAGTACAGCCAGAATGGTCTTTGGAAGCCAGATGGCCAGACTTCGTCTCTCATACTTTGGACATGTTATTAGAAGGGACCGGTCCCTGGAGAATGACATCATGCTTAATAAAATGGAAGGTCAGAGAAAAAGAAGACCCCAAACAGGATGGGTGCACACAGTGGCAGCAGCAATGGACTCAAGCGTTGTGTCAATTCTGAGGTTGGCGCAGGACCAGGAGTGTTTTTGTTCTATTGTGCAAAGGATTGCTATGAATCGGTACCAACGCAATGGCACCTAACAACTACGACAACAATGTGTACATAAGTATATACAAATTTATTTCGCCTCTCCCAGTGTGGCTCTGTGGGTTAATGTACAGGACTGTAAAGTTGGCTGATCAAGTTCACTAGCCACTCTTCGGAAACCTTATGCAGGGTTGCTGGGGTTTGGAATCGACTCAAGGGCACTTAACAACAACAACAACGATCTATCTTCCAGGAGTCTTGGTGAGGTGCTCTTGGATAAGCACTGGATTGCTAACCACAAGGTTGGTGGCTCAAACCCACCAGCCACTCCTTAAAAATCCTATATAGGGTTGCAAATGAGTCAGAATTAGAGCTCAAAGACACTTAACAAGAACAACAACTGTCTTGCATGAGGCCCTTTACATGGTGTTTAAGATTAAATTACCATGAATGTTTACAGCGATATGTCGCTGCACTTGGAGATATACAGGACCTTTGAAAAGACAAAAGCAATTTAGGGCTTGGGTATGACAGTAGCCATCAGCCATTCAGTAACCATGAGTCATAAAAATCTTTTTGCTGTTCAGTCACTTCTGACCCCATAGGAGAGAGTTAGAAGCTCTGGTGTTACAGCAGTTTTCGATTCGAGAGTGCTCTTGATCCAGCATCGAAGAAACTGTGGCCATTCGGAGAGGTGAAGCAGAGTTTCAGATTTTATTAAGCTGGCTGGCTCAGAGGAGCTAATTTCTCCAGATTTTGAGCCCAGAAAGGAACGCAACACAGGCCTATACGGGGTCAGAGTCAGGGAGGGGCCAGCCTGCAGACCTGTTTATGGACAGGGAGGAAACTAGGGGGAATTGGTCCTGTTCAGTGACCTGATTAACATTCTAGCTTGTCTCCTGGGTGGGGGGATTGGTCCCATTCAGTAACCTGGTTAGCATTCTAGCTTGTCTCCTGGGTGGGGAAGATTGGTCCTACTCAGTAACCTGATTAACATTTTAGCTTGTCTCCTGGGTAGAGAGGGCAGTGAATGATTTTACCTTTTCCTATTCACTGGTAGCATAATGGTTACAAATCTAGCTGCTGATCTTAAGGTCAGCAGTTTAAAACTACTAGCTGTTACGTGGGAAAAAGATGAGGCTTTCTGCTCCCGTAAAGGTTTACAGCCTTGGAAACCCTATACAGGGTTACTATGAGTCAGAACCAGCTCCATAGGACAGAGTGGAATCCTGGTGTGACACTGCAGGATAAACACTGAACTGTAAGATTGGTTTGAACTGCAAGATCAGCGGTTCAAACTCACCAGCTGCTATACAGAAACCCTATCTATATATAGGGTCACTACAAATTGGAAACTGACTTGAAGGCACTTAACCACAACAACAAAGGACAGAGCAGAACTACCCCATAGGAGTTCCAAGGCTATAATATTTTTAGACTACTGGTGGGTTTGGGTTTAAACTGACTTGCAGCTTAGCAGCCAAGCACATAACTACTATGCTACTAGGTCTCCTTCTTACCTCAGTTTGCTGTGAACAATTGAAAACAGGGTAAAGTTATGTAAACATGTTATGCAAATGTAGCTTTAGAATTACTGCTTTAGCTTCCCCTCATCTGCATTATTCCAATCTACATACAGATAAGCACTGGATTGAGAACCACGAGAGCTTCAAGTCTGCAGTCCACTCTAAGGGAGTGGACAAGTTAAAGCCTCAGAAACCAGATAAAAAAGCTTGCCTTAAGCAGGAACCGACTCTATGTCACTTAGCAACAACAACAACACACAGACATTTTGGACATAATAATTTATTATCTATATAGAAACAGTATTATTAGATAAAAAATTTGTACATCTACTTAGTCCCGAAAACTCCGTTTTCCCTACTCCTGTGGCACTGTAGGTTAATGCACCAGACTGCAAAGCCATTTGAACTGCAAGGTTGGCAGTTGAAGCTCATTAGCTGCACAGGGTCACTATGGGTCGGAACCAACTCGATGGCACTTTAACAACAACAATTATTAACTGTTTGGAGTCCTGGTGTGGCCCTGTGGGCTAATGAGTCAGACTGCAAAGTCATTTGAACTGCAAGGTAGGTGGTTCAAGCTCACCAGCTGCTCCTTGGAAACCCTATACAGGGTTGCTATGGATCGGGATCAACTCAACGGCACCAAACAACATTATTAACTATTGGTAAAATTGAAAAATTATCTAGATCTAATAGGCAAAAAAAGTTCTTGTTTTTAAGTTCATTTTTATTTTTTTGATTCTTTATGGACAGCTTAAGTCATGATTGCTTTGAAATAAATGTTTGCAAATTACAACAAAAAAATTGTAGGAGATAAAAGGAAAAGAAATAAGACAAAAATAAAAATTTTCTCCAAATTTGAAAAGTGTAACCTTTAAAAAAGTTGTTGATGTTGTGATTAAGAGCCACCAAGTCAGTTCCAACCCATAGAGACTCTGTATTATTTCTGAGGAGCAGCTGGTGAGCTTGAACCGTGAACCTTGCAGTTCAAACGGCTTTGCAGTCTGGCACATTAACTCACAGTGCCACAAGAGTAGGTTCAAGCCAACCTTGCAGTACAGTGCATTAACTCACAGCTCTATACCAGGACTCTTTCTCTCTTTAGATATTTCTTTCTTTTTTTTTCTGGGACAGTTTCAAGAATCTGAATCTGTTAGGTGGAGACACAATTTAACTTGTCCAAACCAGTTTTTCTGGTATGATCTATGTTGCTAAGTGCCTTCTAGTTGCTTGCTTAGGACTCCTAGTTGTTGTTGTGAAGTGCCATCAAGTCGATTCCGACCCATAGCGACACTGTACAGGTTTTCCGAGTAGCGACTGGTGAGTTTGACCCACCAACCTTACAGTTCATACCAACTTTGCAGTCCAATGCATTAACCCACAGCGCTACAGCAGGACTCCACAGTGATTCTCGGAAGAATGGTTGGTGGGTTTGAACCGCAATTAGCAGTCTAGAGCTTATCCTACAGCGCTACACCAGGACTTTCATCTGGTCTATGGTAGGAACTTAAACCAAAAATAAAACCCAAAACCATTACCATCGAGTTGATTTTAAAAATGTAAGTCTTGGGGTGAGAGGAACGTGGCACCTTTAATATTTTTCCTGGGGAAATTCTGCTAGGTTTGAACGCAGAGCAGGTAGTTAGTAGACCAGTTCTCAGCCCACAGCACCACCAAGACACTTCGGAAGTCCTTCCGTGGAGCCGGTTCCGTAGTGACTCTGCACAGGATTTCCGAGGAATAGCTGGAGACCTTGTGGTTCGCAGTCCATTGCTTACCCACCTAGGATAATCAGTATGGTTTGGCCCTGGTACCTGCAAAAATTTGTTGGGGAACCAAGAGTGATTTCCCAGATATTTCACACATTGTTGTTGTTGTTAAGTGCCTTCGAGTCGGTTCCGACCCATAGCGACCCTATACAGGGTGTCCGAGCAGAACACCTCATCTTTCTCCCGCGGTGCGGCTGGTAGTTTCGAACTGCTGGCCTTAAGGTTCGCAGCCCGATTTGTAACCACTACGCTACCAGTGCTCCTTACACATACTTACAAATAATGAGACAGGAACACTGGCCCAGGGTGGTGGCTTGGGGGCAATCTGGAGACCCCTCTCAGTGAGCTCATTTGGTGGATGGGTGGGTACACAGGGTCCTACCCACTCCCTCAGTCAATCAGGCCATAGATGCCCAGCCCCCTCGCATTGCAACAGCTTCAGGTCACTGCAGCAGTCTAGGGTGGGGGTGGGTGTGGTGGGTGGGTGCTGCTGCGGCATACAGGTTGGCGAGCATGCGCATAAAGGCGTGAGGCGACAGCAGATGCTGCGCTGCGCACTGGCTCCTCAGCGGAGAGGATCAGCTGCAGGACGTGATCCGTGTGTTAGCTTGAACTGCGGTCAGAGGCGACATGGAGCGAGCCAGGTCAGCAGTGGGTGGCTGCCTGCAGCCAGCTGGGGCCCCCGTGACATCTCTTCCTCAGATATTAAAATCTGCAGGAATTGAGAATGCAAGTCCTGGAGCCTTTTGTTTTGGAGAAGAGTATGGGACACCCTTAGCCGTCCGGTCTTTACACAGTATTCTGTCTGTGTCCTATCGTGATACGCCCGTCCTAGCCAGCCCGCCCCATGGTTTCCGCAGTCAGGTCCAGTTGCGGCTGGCTTTTGTCCCCCCGGGGCGGTGTCATGGCTGTGCAGAGGGTGGTGGCCGAATGGCCAGAGTCAAGAGGTGGCCTCGGTGGATAGAGGACCAGACAGAGTGCTGGTGGAGGGAGAGGCAACGAGGTGATGATGGTGAGGAGGACAGGGGGTCAGGCTAGCAGCCGTGCTGGGGGGGGGACAGGGGGACAGGCTAGCAGCCATGCTGTGGGGGGACGGGGGCAGGCTAGCAGCCATGCTGGTGGGGACAGGTGGGTGGCCGCACTGGGGAGAAGGGTGTGCGGTGGTGGCTACAGCGAAGGCTAGGGGGAAGTGGGGTGCCTCAGTGACCCCAAGAGACAGTGATCCAGGCGGCAGCAGAAAGGGGCTCGCGAGTTGTCTGGTGGCCGGTTGACCTTGGTGGCAGGGTGGGACAGGTAGAGGGACTGCCGTGGCGAGGGTCTGCCGTGGCGAGGGTCTAGAGCGGGTGGCAGTACGCTCGTAGTGAAGGGGAGTGGGATGCAGGAGTTGCAGTGGCGGAGAGGAATGAGTGGTCTCAGGTTGGTGCATTGGAGCTGCTTGGGGCTGTGGGTTGGCGTCTGGGGGCGAAGTCTTGTCCAGGGAGATGGGGTGATGGGGAGTCGGTTGGTGGTGTGAGGCAGCGGCAGTGTAGGGGAGGAGGGATCGCTGGTGTGATCCTGATGAGGACCCGAAAGGTGGGGTTGGGGTGGCCAAATGTTCCAGAAGGTTCAAGTTAGTTTGTAAATGGAGACTGTTACCACTCCTTAAGGAGAGCCTTAAATATAGTGACTTGCATTTCGAGTGTGTGCTTTATGGCAACCCCTCCCTAAAATGAAGTGATAACTGTGGGAATATTGTTTCGTGGTCTATTTCACTCCTTCAGTGTACTTTGCTTTCACTGTAATTTGTGGCTATGCTTTAAGAAGATGGGGAGATGCCCTGTAGGTCATTTCATGCATCTCCTCATAGAAAGTTATCATAGTCCCGGGGTGTGAGATCGGGTGCTTGCTTGCACTGTCTTCTCCCAGTGTTCCCACTAACATCCTGGAACGGGGAACAGGGGCTCAGAGGTGGCTCAGTGCCTCCCTGCTTTTGTGTAGCACCTAAAGATGGCGGCTGCTGCAGTGGTGCAGGTTTGCGCAGACGCAGGGCTGCAGGCAACTCCCCCTCCTCACCTTGCAGTAGTGCTGGGCAGGGCCAGACCTCTGCAGCTTTTGCCTGTCTGAAATTTCGCAGTCCCTTTTTCAAAGCTCCACAGTAGGAGGAGGTTGTGCATTTGCTCAGGCCTGCTCAGGTGGGTTGATGCCTAATCCCCCAAATGTTGCACTGGTGGTGGGGGTGAAGGATGCGCAGGTGCCGAGGAGATGGCAGCTGCCTCCGGCCTTTGGAGAACCAGGTGGTGGAAGGAATCTGAAGCTTTTCCCGCGGGAATGGGAGCACACCTCTCTACCTGCCTGTACAAAGGACATTGTGTCCCCACAATACCGTGGTGACTTGGGCGGTCTCTGTCTGGCGGGATTGGCAGCCTACCTATAGTGCTGGTGTGGAGTGGGAATGAAGTGGGAACGGAGACAGCGGACACGTACAGCCGGTGAGTCTGCCTGCTTAGGACAGAGGCCATGTTGCGCGGTGGCCGAGAGGGGAAGGGTAGTCCTAGGAGACAAAGAGGTACAAGGCTCCTCTCCCCAACCCCCTGGCTTCCCAGGACCAGCTATGCTGGTTAAAGCAGCCTCCATCACCGATCCCACCCAGAGGAGTCTCCGGAAAGGACCACCTTTTCATTTTGTGTTACTTTATTTTGATTTTATTTTGTATTGTAACAACCACCACCACCGTCGGTTGTATTGTGCACAATCTAATTGTCCATCTCAAAGTGGATTGTGTAATCTCTTACGCCATCAGCGGCTGATTTCCACATTTCAGATGTGGCAGTGCACTATCTCTGCCTCACCTTTAACATATGGTTGCTCCATTTGTGGTCCCACTGCCTGCATGGTTTCCATAAACTGATACTGCCGCAGGCGTAGTTCTGCCCAAGTCAGCAGGGGAGTGTCGGGACACTCTGGTCTTCTCAGCTTTTAGAATGGACTTGAAGACGTTGCATTTGCATGAGGACCGGAACTCAGAAACGGGAAGAAAAACCAGTTGGGTTGGAGTGTGGTTAGGGTAAAGGAATTCTTGCCTTTAGTTGTATTTTTATACTAATGTGTTTTTTTCTATCATATTGAAGGAGCTCTGGTAGTGTAGTGGTTACAGGTCTGCCTGCTAGCCTCAAGGTCAGCAGTTCGAAACTACTAGCCGGTCTGTGGGAGAAAGATGAGGCTTTCTGCTTCCATAAAGATTTACAGCCTCGGAACCCCTATGCAGGGTCACTGTGAGTGGGAACTGACTCCACCACCACTGTCATATTGAAGCTGGAGATGTGAAGAATATTGGATGAAAAAGGACACTGAACAGATTCTTTGTATTTCATTGCTCCAATTTTTGTAGGGAGGTCTTTTACTTTACCATTCTTCCCCACCCCTTCGGTAGGATTTTCATGTGCTTGCCTCCTTTTCGTTTTCTTTTTAACCTAACCACTTTGTTGTATTAAGTTGGGGTGAATTAAGGAAAAGGTAAATTCAGTAAGCTAAAAGATCATTGTTCTGAAATTTCTGCTTCTTATAATAATTTTTTATTAGTTTAAAACTAATAGGAGGGTCTGGAAGTTTTGTGTGAAAATTATGATTTGCCCACTTATCTTGCTTGTATGACTGCATTGCAGTATGACCGTATTTTTATCTTGGCTTAACTTCAAATTGGAGTCCTGGTGTGGTGCTGCGGGTTAATGCGCAGGACTGCAATGCAAATTTGAACAGCAAGGTCGATAGTTCAAACTCACCAGCTGCTCCTTGGAAATCCTATACAGGGTGGCTGTGAGTTGGAACCGACTGGACGTCATTTAACAGCAAGAACACCAATTTCCAGTTATTTGAATCTTTGCAAAATGAGTGCATTTATTCTCTTCTTCCCTTTTGGTCGTCTCTCACTCCCAATATATTGGTGGTGGTGGTTGTTGGTATGCCGACGTTTTCCTATTTATGGCTACTTGAAGTCTTTATTTTTCCATTCCTTCTTTCTTTTCTTAATGTGTTCTTATTTGTTTACAGCAAGATGCACAGGTGTGATGTCAAGGATTTCAACTGCACTGAAATTTTTAGGAAGAATCCTTGAAATAAGTACCAGATGAATGTAGCACTCAACCTAGCAGGGACAGTGAGATTTTTAAAAGATCACCTTTCCTTTTATTGCTGTGTCCCTGGTGCTGTGGAGAATGGGGTCCCATGGACAGCTTTGGTTAAAGAGAGGGGTATTCCAAATCTGCTCTCCCCCCTCTGTCTTGCCCCTCCCATTAACTTCTGTAGCATAAAACCAGGAAGCTTTTATGAGGGCTGTAACTGGTTAAAACAACCTCTTACACTCATAACAATAGTGTGTGGAAGTTATTTCTTTTGTCTTCCATTTTCTGAATGCTAGCTTGTCGGGAGAAAAAGAGGAAGACCACCAACGAGATGGATTGGCACAGTGGCAATATCAGTGGGCTCAAATGTAGCAATGATTGTGAGGGTGGCCCAGGATTGGGCAGTGTTTTGTTCTATTGTGCACAGGGTCACTGTGAGTCGGTATTGACTTGATGGCTCTTAACAAAAACAACAAACTTGTCTAGAATTACCTTTTGGAAGATTTCTCCAGTTTTGTAGGCAATGATTTTCTTAGGATTTTAGTATCCTCATAGTTTCCAAATGTCCCATTAGTTTTCTTAAAAAATTTCATTATGTTTGATTACTTGATAAAGTAGCATTGTTGTTAAGGACAAAGGATCCCCTTTAAACTTACTTTATGAAAAGTTGTTACAATGATAGTGTAAATATCCCAGATACTGAAGAGCTGAGGAAAGGATGGTAATTGTGGCTTTCGTCTACCATAATTTTATATGTTGGATCCATTTCCTCTTTCAAATTGAATCACCTAAGTTTGGCAATGTAGGATAGGCATTAATATCATTCAAGGTGTTGTTGAGTCAGTTCTGACTTAGTGACACTGTATAGGGTTTCCTAGGAGTGGTTAGTGGGTTTGAACTGCCAACATTTTGGTTCAAACCAATCCTGTGTCCTATAGTACCACACCAGACTCCAATATTCAAGGTATTTGTATTTTAATTTCTGAATAGCAGATTTGTAATCCTGTTTTTGAAAAAATAAAAATAAAAAAGTTTGCCTTTGCTATAAACAGGGTAAGTTTAGAGTAGGCAATTCGATTTCTATATAACACCAGGCTCCCCGTGTGGATGAGGTTAATTGTAAGGCAGGCTAGTGTGACTCTTTAGTATAAACACTGTACTGCTAACTATAGGGTTGGTGGTTCAAGCCCACCAGCTGCTCCTCAGAAACCCTATACAGTGTTCCTATGGGTTAGTCTGGACTCCTCCTGGTGTGGTGCTGAAGGATCAGCACTGGATTGTGAACCACAAGGTCAGCAGTTCAAACCTACCAGCTGCTCCTTGGAAACCCTATGCAGGTTCACTATGAGTTGGAACCAACTCGATGGCAGGTCATAACAACAACATGAGTTGGGACTGAATCCATGGCACTTAACAACAACAGTGTAAAGTAGTTGAAGACAATGAATACTGCTAGGGAGTTTGTGTGTATGTGTGTGTGTGGACTTCCATTCAACCCAGGTAACTAGTATGAAGAAGATTGAAATGTATGTTATTGTAAAATGCTTTTGAGTTGGTTCTGACTCTGTGAGATCAGCACTGGACTGAGAACCACAAGTTGGCAGTTCAAACCCACCAGCTGCTCCTTGGAAACCCTATACAGGGTCACTATGAGTCAGAACGACTCAATGGCACTTAACAAACCTGTAGCCAGTGAATTACTCTCCCTTCCCTCTCATCCCTGGTAACCATCAAAGAATATTTTCTTTTAGCATGAAAACCTTTTATTTATTTATGTTTTTAGTTTTTACAATAGTGGTCTCATGCAATATTTGTCCTATTGTGATCGACTAATTTCACTCAGCATAATGTCCTCCAGGTTCATCCATGTTAGGAGGTGTTTCACAGATTCCTCGTTACTCTTCAGCGTTGCGTAGTACTCCATTGTGTGTATGCACCAAAGTTTGTTTATCCATTTTTCCATTGGTGGAGATTCAGGTTCTCCATCTTTTTGCTATTGAAATATGCATATATCAACTCATGTCTTGAGGATTTATACCAAGTAGGATTGTTGGATCATGTGGTATTTCTATTTTCAACGTTTTGAGAAAGTGCCACACCATTTTCCACAGAAGTTGCACCATTTTACAGTCCTACCAGCAATGTAGGAGGGTCTCAGTCTCTCCACATCCTCACCAGCATTTGTCATTTTTGCTTTTGGAACTTTGCTGTTAATGCTGTGGTGAGATGGTGTATCCTTGTCTTAATGTGAATCTCATTGGTGACTAATGATCACAAACATTTCTTCAGAGTTTTTTGGCCACCTGAGTGTCTTTGGTGAAGTATCTGTTCATGTCCTCTGACCATTTTTTAATTGGGTTGTTTGCCTTTTTCTGGTAGACGTGCTATAGTTTTCTATAAATTTTAGATATTAGTCCATTGCCTAATATGTCATTGCAAAAAAAAAAATTTTTTTTTCCCAGTCTTTGAGCTCTTTTTTACTCTCTTGGTGAAATCTCTTGATGCATGTAAGTGTCTAATTTTTAGGTGATCCCAGTCATCTAGTTGGTATTCCACTGTTTGTGTGTTTTTAGTTATTTTGATAGTGTGCTTATGCCATGTGTCAGAGCCCCTAAGTTTGTCATTATTTTTTCATTGATAATCTTTATATTTATAGTTCTAGGCTTAATTTTAGGTCTTTGATCTATGTTGAGTTTGGTTTTATATATGGTGTGAGATATGGGCCTTGCTTAATATTACTGCAAAAAGATTTTCAGTTTTGCTGGCACTATTTGTATAAGAGACTGTCTCCTCCCCATTTAATTGTATTTTGGCACTTTGTCAAAGAACAACTGAGTTTATGTGGATGGATTTACTTCTGGATTCTCAGTTCTGTTCCATTGGTCTGTGCGTCTACTATTGTATCAGTACCAAACTGGTTTGACCGTAATGACTATGTAGTAGATTTTGAAGTGAGGAAGTGAGAGGCCTCCAACTTTGTTCTTCTAAAGTAATGCTTTGGTTATCTGAGTTTCTTTTCTTTCATTGTAAAATTAGC